TATCACATTCATTGAGCATAGAACAAGATGTAGTCACAACTTTCTATTATATGAGAGTTCTTAGAAGGTCGAGTTTCTATCCCTCATCCTGCTTACTTTACTGCAAAACTCCCTCTGTTTCAGCTATGTATTGATATCCATATCCATGTTACATCATAATTACTTGAACATAATATATACGTATAACAATTATAAATGAATAAAATAAAATATTTACAAATGTTGATCCAATAAACAATAGAACAATCAGAAAGATCTACCTGCTCTGGTACAGTCGTATCTTTGTAGATAACAAAATCAAGATTGTAACTTTCTAAATAATAACTGTGTATCACTATCATATTCCTACAGACACATATAACAAAGTATTTTCATTCTCAATACCTGATATTACTTAAGTACTAATACATGTATTACTATAATATACGTCCACTTATATTTCCATGAATCAAATGTTTTCTAGTGAACTTAAACTCTTTAGGTCATTTGTATTCATGAATTACATTCCTATACCATTAATACCATCTAGTGATGATTGTATCAGTACTTTACAATCATAGTATTTAATTTGAATATTCAGTAGGCTCTCACTAACTAAAATATACCAACACTACTTATAAGACTCATTCAAAGGATGTGTTATCAACCATGAAGTTCTATAATAATTCTTCAAATAATGTTCATGGTGTTGACAATACTTGTCCTAGAAATTCTCCACCCAGAAATCTTTCTCACATAGATTTGTTTTTGTTTACATAATTATAATTTTCACTAAAATTCCACCTTGTAGTAACAAACTTTTCATTCAATAGAACATAGTTTACTTTAAAATAACTTGGAAAGAATAATTTAAATTCATTAGCATCACTCTCTTTATTAGCATTGTGATGACTTATTAATGTAATACATCTTAAAAGCAGGATTGTCCTAATGTTCTGACCAATCCGTATTCCTTAGTACACTTCAACTGACTAAAATAAAATAAAATAAACTTGGGGTCATACTGCCCAGAAACTCTTATTCCTAGTCTGTGTCTAACAAACTCAGGAAAATCATAAAACAACTTATTCAATTCATTGAATACATCATATCCAGAAATCTATCCTCCTTAGTCCACACTTTTATAGACTTAGGTCAAATATAATTGTTTACTAAACTCAATTGAATTCCTCTTGGATCTCTGAACTCTTATATCCAAGGCATTCTTAATGTATACCATGCCTTAATATTAATCAATATAAATTATCCTTCCTTAGTTTTCTTCCTTATGTTACCATTGTTTGTTTTACTTCACCTCGATTATAAACAAATTACTCATTATAGTTAATCTATGAAATACTATTGAACTCAATCTTTGTGGTATTAAGTAACCATGATCCTAATTTTATCAACTTCATATTTTATCTACCTCTGATACTTCTCATCCTATGTATAGGTCATAATATAATAGTTCTTTTCATAATACTATCCTTTCGTAATTGTACTCCATGTGTTATATAGCTATAAGTAGTCTCTTTTGGTATTAATACTCATAACTGTTAAATAACTTTTCATTGTCTCTTTTCTTTGTTAATATTTAGGAATTTATATGTATGTTAGTGTCAATCTTTTATTTCTTTGTAAGTCTGTTAATCTTCTGTATCGAATGAACTCTGTAGAATCTTCCATCACAGTTTGCAGATCAGATGAAGTCTCTTTCCAACAGTCGATGTCCAGTTGACTAAAGTAATGCTTTCCTGATTTATTGCCACATGGATTTGTCACGCTTTACCAGATTAGTTATTTCTGTCTATTTCGTTGCTTCATCCACACAGCTGCGCAGTTCTGGACTTGGATCTGGATGATTGCCAATCTCTGCCACGTGCTTGCTTCTAGAATTCACGTTGTATCTTGTGCTTTTTGTCTCAGTTGTAGAAAATAGTCTTGTACAGTCTTTGTGATTTGAAAACTTTTTCTTACAAACCACAGTTCTTCTATGACAGTTAGGTAAAGAAGGTAAAGTTAAGCGGCCACTTCAAAGGTGCAGAACTGTTCCATTATAATTTAAAGGGGCAGAAACAGTATTTTAAAATCCAATATGCCCAAATAAAGCTTTGAAGAATGGCAATACATCCCAGGGGCCATAGTCACAGGGAAAGAGGCTGGCAAGCAGGCCTCTCCAAATTCCATTGACAAAGGTTCTTTCGTCACAAGGCTTCTCTAATAAAACTCTTCAGGGAAGGTCCAAATAGTTTACAAAAACAAATTTTATTAATAAACAGAATAAAAAAAGAAAATAAGTAACACACCAACGAGTTTCACCTATACAAAAGGCTTTTATTTGTATAGTATAGTTTATTAAAGGGGTACTATATGACACTATAGTCACCAAAATTTTTTTAGCTTAATGAAGCAACTTGGGTGAATATCAAAGTGAATACAAGATTGGAAGAGGAATTGGAAAGGGTGAAATAATAGGGTCTGTTGGGAGATGAATATGAATTCCTAATCAATAAACATCCTATTATAGCAACCTTCTACTGCCTTCCGAAGGAACATAAAAGCCTAACTGAACCTTTGAAGTCATCCGATTGCATGAGGTTCTAACAATCTAGTTAAAAATGTCAGTACTTATGTTAATAAGATACTATGAGCCCATGTTGATATGCTTCCAAACAAGCCATTGCCTTCTTTTCTGACATACAACTGCCAGAGTCAGCACAACTTTCCAGTCTCAATGTTGAATCTCTCTATTCTTCTATTCCAAGTGACAAGGGACTTCAGCACATACATAGTTACATAGTTACATAGCTGAAAAGAGACTTGCGTCCATCAAGTTCAGCCTTCCTCACAAATGTTGCTGTTGATCCAAAAGAAGGCAAAAAACCTGGTCTGAAGCGCTTCCAATTTTGCCACAAACTAGGAAAAAAATCCTTCTTGACCCCAAAATAGCAGTCAGATGTCTCATTGGATCAAGCAGCTATTACCCCACTAATTAGAAATGATATCCCTGTATGTTATGTTTTTGTAAGTATTTATCCAATTTCAGTTTAAACATCTGTATGGACTCTGACAAAATCACCTCTTCAGGCAGAGAATCCCATATCCTTATTGTTCTTACTGTAAAAAACCTTTTCTTTGCCTTAGATGAAATCTCCTTTCTTCCAGCCTAAATGTGTGACCTCGTGTCCTATGTATAGCCCTGTTTATGAATAGATTTCCAGACAAAGGTTTGTACTGGCCCCGAATATATTTGTAAAAAGTTATCATATCCCCTCTCAGGTGCTGTTTTTCCAAACTAAACAGATTTAAATTTTTTTAACCTTTCTTCATAACTAAAATGCTCCATTCCTTTTATCAATTTTGTAGCTCGTCTCTGGACCCTCTCCAGTGCCATGATATCCTTCTTTAGAACAGGCACCCAAAATTGCACAGCATATTCAAGGTGTGGTCTTACCAGCGATTTATAAAGAGGCAAAATTATATTTTCATCCCGAGAATTTATGCCCCTATTTATATATGACAAAATCTTACTGGCCTTAGCAACTGCAGATTGACATTGCATATTGCTGCCTAATTTGTTATCTATAACAATTCCCAAATCCTTCTCGTGTGTGGTTATCCCTAATTCACTACCATTTAGTGTGTAAGTTGCTTGTGCATTCTTAACCCTGAAGTGCATAACTTTGCATTTCTCTATGTTAAATTTAATCTGCCATTTTAGTGCCCAGTCCCTAAATCTATCCAAATCTCTCTTCCGCAAAGCAATATCCTGCTCACATTTTATTACTTTACAAAGTTTTGTGTCATCTGCAAACACTGATACATGGCTTTCAATGCCTATTTCAAGATCATTTATAAATATGTTAAATAGTAGTGGTCCCAAAACAGAACCCTGAGGGACACCACTTACCACTTTTGTCCAGCCTGAAAATTTACCATTAATTACAACTCGCTGTACTCTATCCTTAAGCCAATGTTCTACCCAAGAACACGAATATTCATCTATACCAATTTCTTTTAGTTTGAAGACTAACCTATTGTGAGGAACCGTATCAAATGCCTTGGCAAAATCCAAGTAGATCACATCCACTGCAACACCCTGATCTATACTTCTACTTACTTCTTTGTAGAATGCAATTAGGTTAGTTTGACTTGACCTATGTTTCATAAAACCATGCTGATTATTGCTAATAACAAAGTTCTTCCCAATGAATTCCTGAATATTATCCCTTAATAGCCGTTCAAATATTTTCCCAGTTACAGAAGTTAAGCTCACAGGTCTATAATTTCCAGGCAAGGATTTTGAACCCTTTTTAAATATAGGAATAACATCTGCCTTCCTCCAATCCTCCGGTACAACACCTGAAACAAAAGAATCTTGAAAAATGAAATACAGAGGTTCACTTATTTCCCCACTTAGCTCCTTAAGTACTCGTGGGTGAATACAGTCAGGCCCCGGAGCGTTATTTACATAAATTTTCTTTAATAGCTGTAGCACCTTGTCTCGAGTTATCCAATCACAAGTTATCTGCAAGTTTTTTGCAGCAATCATTTGCATATCTCTTGCCATAGGATCCTCATTAATATATACTGAAGAAAAAGTTATTTAAAATTTCTGCTTTTTCCTGGTCTTCATTAGCTAATAAACCCAACTCTGTTTCAAGTGTACCTACACTTTCATTTTTAGTTTTTTTAGAATTGATGTACTTGAAAAAAAATTTGGGGTTGGTTTTGCATTCTTTAGCTATCAATTTCTCATTTTCTAGTTTAGCCACTTTAATTGCCTTTTTGCAAGCGTTATTGGCTTCCTTATATCTTAAATAGGATGCCTTTGATTTGTCTGATTTAAATGCCTGTTTCTTATTTTTAATCTCTTGTTACTTCTCTACTAAGCCACATTGGTTTTAATTTGTTTCTTTTATATTTATTACCCAATGAGAAATGGACCTTTCTAATATTTGTTTGAATAGTTTCCATTTATCCTCAGTGTTTTTATCACTATGGAGTTTATGCCAGTTGATATGTTGTAGAGCTGCCCTAATCTTATTGAAATTGGCTTTTTTAAAATTATATGTTTTAGTATACCCCACTTGCTTTTGCTTTTTTGAGTTTATTTAAAAATTTACCATATTGTGATCACTATTTCCCAAATGCTCCCCTACTTGAATGTTGGTTAAAAGATCAACATTGTTTGTTATGACAAGATCCAGACAAGCATCCTTTCTAGTTGGTGCTTGTACCAGTTGTGACATAAAGGTGTCATTTAACACATTCAAAAATCTTATGCCCCTTGCTGAAGTACTAGTCCCTCTTTCCCAATGTATGTCTGAATAATTAAAATCTCCAATAATTAACGTATTACCTCGATTTGCAGCTTTCTCAATTTGCTCTAACAGCTGTTCTTCCTCATTAATATTTACATTAGGTGGTTTATAACATATCCCAACCAATAATTGATTTCCCTTTGTTTGCCCCAAGCAGATATCTACCCATAAAGCCTCCACCTTTTCCTCGTCACACTCCACATGCCTAAGATTTTACTTTAACTCATGGTTGACATATAAACATACCCCACCACCCTTCTTGTTTTTCCTATCCTTCCTAAATAATGTGTACCCATTTAAATTACCTGCCCAGTCATGTGTCTCATCCCACCATGTTTCTGTTATGCCTTTTATATCATATTGTTTAGTGTATGGTATTGCCTCTAGTTCCCCCATTTTGTTATATAGGCTCCTTGCATTAGTAAGCATACATTTAATATTATCATGAGTCTTTTGTACTTTTTGTGAATTATCAATATTACATACCTCCACTGTTCTGAGTTTTCCCCTCCCCAATCTCCACCCCCTTTGTTCTGAGCTAAAGCCCATCTCCTTTCCATCCTATCTCCATTTTCTAGATTGCTTTGACTTTCCCCCCCCACCACTAGTTTAAAATCTCCTCCAACCTTCTAGCCATCCTATCCCCCAGCACAGCAGATCCTCTTCCGTTTAGGTGCAATCCATCATGACTATACAGGTTGTACCCAAGCGCAAAATCGTCCCAGTGCTCTAAAAACCCCAAACCCTCTTTCCTGCACCAAGACTTTAGCCACGCATTGCCCTCTCTAATCACCCGCTGCCTTTCTGGTGTAGTGCGCGGCATAGGTAATATTTCTGAAAAAACTACCTTGGAGGTCCTTTTCTTAAGCTTACTTCCTAGTTCCCTGAACTCATTCTTTAAGACCTTCCATTTTCCTCTGACTTTGTCATTGGGAACAATATGGACCATGACAGCTGGGTCATCTCCAGCCCCTCCCAATAATCCCTCCACTCTGTCAGCAACATGCCGGACCCGAGCACCCGGGAGACAGCAAACTGTCCTGTTGAGTTGATCAGAGTGGCAGATTACCCTATCTACTCTCTTAATAATAGAGTCCCCTACCACCACAACCTGTCTAGACTTCCTTAGCCTCTCAACCCCACCCGTACTAGAGGGGCTGTTGCCACCGCTGTTAGCAGGAACAGCTTCCTGCAGTACAGCTACTCCTGAGCTGATGTTCCCAACATCTTCACTCAAACGGGCAAATCTGTTAGGCTGCATGAGATCAGGACTAGCTAAACCTTTTCTCTTCCCTCCCCCCCTGCTTCCTCGCCCCACTGTCACCCAGCTACGTGCCTGTTCCCCATCTGTCTTATCTCCTCCCTCTCCACTACCTGTCCCCACTAAACTCTGCTCAGTGAGCAGCAGACTCCTCTCAAGATTGTCAGTCTCCCTCAGTGTTACAATTTGCCTCTCCAGATCGCTTATCTGAGCTTCCAGAAATGCCACTTGCTCACACCCACCACAGAGGTATGGACCCTGGACAGAATCATCCAGGCATGCATACATGCGGCATGATGTGCACTGAGTTAAATTTGCAATCCTGCTAGCACTCATCCCCAGGAAAAAAATAAAATAAACACAAGTGAGAAAAACAATATTAACCCTCTTGGTTTAAACTCCCTTGTAGTTTCAACTCATGTTGTTTTAACTCCTACTTAAAAGAGACTACTTTAAATAGCCTACTTTCAAGCAAACTCCAGTGAGCAAGCTCTGTGAGTCAGTAGTGTTTTTATATTGGCAATACAAATCCCACACAGGTGGAAATTAAGGGGAACTCCCCCTAATTAGCTCAGCAGCAGCAGCACCCACAAGGAGGGTAATAGAAACAACAAGAGAGTGGAAAATACAATTCTTTTTAGAGAATAGGGGAATTAATTTCTTGAAACACACTTCATTTACTTTGGCCCTCCTGGAATTCATTTTAACACAAAACTATTTTCTGTTCAACAACACCTTCTACTACCAGGCGAGGGGTACTGTGATAGGGACGTCTTGTGACCCTTCCTATGCTAACCTTCAGTTAGGTGGGTGAAAGAAAGTTACAGTCCAATATTCAGACATGGCTGAATTCCTTCCATGCATAGTTTTAGGCTTTTTATGGTGTTGGTACGTACCCCTAAATAATTTACCAGATCTCTGGCTGTGTTAAATGTGAATTAGCAGATTTTAAAATGTATATCTGAATTTGGGGGCTCGACATATTCTGGACCTTACCATCTCGATTAATTATCATAGAATATGACAACTACCCTATTAAAATATCTCACATCTTCCTTTCTATGCTGGGAAGATGACCACTCCAAACCCTTTAAAACGTGACATACCAACAAGCCAGTACTTTTTGAGTTTGGAGGAACTGTAGCAGCACTGAGGATTTTAAGACCAAAGTTGCAACAACAGTTATGAGAAAAAGACTATCCTAATAAATGCATAAATAAAGCCTCTTAAAGAGCCATTGAAACTGAAGGATTGCATATTTTAGAACATCATCGTTCTCCTAAACAATGTATGCAAATAATTATAATCATTGAATCCCATGATGCTTGGCATGGTTGGCATTTTATGAAAAATATGTTACAACAGTTCTTGCAAATGCTCACAAATGATCCACATCTAAAGGACGTGCTAAGATTACATGCAAGTATTACAGCATGCGGGGGGTGGAAATCGACAGGACTTGTTGGTTCCAAGCACTTTACAAATAAATCAGTTGAATTACTTGTTCCCTCAGTTTTAAACCTGCAAGTAAAAACATTGTCGTTCTTCAGAACATATTTTCATTACAGGTTTTAAATGCCTCAGTCTATCAGAACGCCACTAGAGACGTTTCCACCGAAACAAAAGAGTAAAATTCTATTTCAATCAGAGGGTCTCATAGAGGCCATATAGAATCCATACAAGTGGTCCTTTAAGATATATTGGTGCCCAGAGATTTCCTTTCAACTTAAATACCATAACCTTTAGCAGGGATAGGCAACCTTCGGCACTCCAGATGTCGTGAACTACATCTCCCAGATTGCTCTTACAGACATAATGCTTTCAAGCATCAGGGGAGATGTAGTCCACAACATCTGGAGTGCCGAAGGTTGCCTAGCCATGACCTATAGCCTAACACTAACTCCCATGACCTCTTGTCTCACCTTAACACCTACCACTTGGTAACCAAATTCTGTTGACTGTAGCTACCATCATTCCTGGAAATGATGTTACATATAGTTCCACAGAAGGATTAAGATCTCACAGGACCCTAATTAGGTAACCAGTTTGGGTGGCCCCCTTTATTCTTCACATTGGGATAGTAAATGGGGTCATGCAGATTCATGGTTCCGGGGCCCCGATCTAACCTCTCGGACAATGGCAGTTATCTTATGTTTAATCCGCTCGGTTTAGTTCCCAGCATGTGGAGGGCATACCAACCTAACTGCCAGGATATGAACCATTATCTTATATGCATAATAGTGAAGTACAGCTGTTTTGAAGTAAACACAATGTCATTTCAAATGCTACATTTTGTTTGCTGTCTTGATTTGCACTATTTGAATATTGACATTTGAAAGGATACTGATTTACCTAATAATCTATCTGAAAGCGCTTCTGATCAATGTGCCTTGCCACACAGTTCATTCTTTCAGGCACTCACTTTTTGATTACTGTTATTTTGCAAAAAGTTTTATTTTTTTACATAAATTACAGATTAAGGGATAGAAGACTAAAAACAAAATGACACTGTGAACGTAACTGGACATTTTCAATCTAATATCAACCAACGCAGATTTTTGACCATTTAAAGTGGTAGTTCTCTGTCTCCACCTAGTGGTTATTTAGGCTCCATACAAATGTATAGATTTTTTGTGAATCAGTTTGATTCAATTTAATTACCACCGTGAAAGGCAAGTCTGGTGCCAATAAATATTGAATTGGATGTGATCGATTTTCAAAAACGATTGAAAATCAATCATATACTTTCCATTGCATTTATCAGATTTGGCGATTTAATACCATTTACAAAGGACATAATCCTCGATAAATGGCTTTGAATATACCATGTCTAGTCATTAAAAAAGTAAGATAAATGTGCATCTCATGCACATTTATGCAAGGATTTGTCTCACACATATGACCTGTTTATTGGGTTGGGCTGGTAGAATTTCAGCCGGCATAAAATCCAGTCGAAATGCAAAAAGCAAATCCAGTTAATAATGTTTAGTTTGCTGGTAATAAGAATTGAGGCTTATGTCAGAGAAAGCATATCATAATGAGCAATTAAATTTCTTTCAAGTATGATTTAGAAATATTAAATAATTAATATCTTTGCTGCTGCTATAATGACAAATGTAATTAGCTATGTGTATTATTAGCCCTTTGTAGGAAAGGTAACATCAAACAGATACACTCATACTAGGAATGTTTGTGTTTGAGAAAGTTACATTTATTTTTTTTTTTTATCTTTAACGGCTAAAGTGTGAGATATGTGATTAAGTGCATATTAGTATATGTTTTTGAAATAAACTAGGTTATTCACTAACGCAAAAATATGAATTTTAAATTTAAAGCCAGAGAAGCTAAACTGAAAGTATAACTGTTACTTTGACCTTTTTCACTTTAGTGAATACTACTGACATTGTCCATTTACTTTTCCACTCTATCATCTCGCTTAATCACAGTGCGTATTACTTACTTACTTACTGTATTTTTTCCATAAGTCTAAAAGTGGTGGTCGTCTTATACACGGAATGTCACTGCAGCAGTTAAATAAACAAAGCACTTGTGCGCGGGGCCCAAGTTAAGATGACGCCTGCCACATATCAGTGTGCCATGGCCCACACACATACCTGGTCTCCCTCCTGCCGATACACTTCTTAATGCTGTAGCAAGGAGGAAGAGGTTCC